CCTGTCTTGTCAGTGGCATGCCTACTCACCAACAACCCTACCCCCATTTACTAAAATAACAAATTCAGTTGGTCAGACAAAAATTAAAGAAAAGCAGAGTATTTGGGAAAATGTTTAATTTATAACAAAACATACCAAACAAAATCCGAACCATTTTTATGGCTTTTTTCTTGTTGGCCATATTGCTGGCAAGGATGTATATGATCATGCAATAATTTTAAACTATATAACAGGGCAAAAACCAATCCAGTCCCTACCCAAAATTATAAATTGGTTAGTATCAGAGAAACAGAGCGTTTATGAAAATGATTATACAAAACAAACACTATTTTACAACTTTCCTCTTAACATCAGAACCCAAATGCAATTTCAGGGCCACCAACCCTGCTCTGAATTGTGACCTCCTGTGCTTGAAACAAGTTGCAAATTCTTGTTGCTTCAATGGATCTGGATATTTACATGGCACTACAATTCATCAGCAGAGTTGTGACAGCTTGGTCACAGTGCCATCCTTACCCTAGAGGTGGGATCATTGCAAGTAACTTTTCAACCAGCGTGCCAGCAGCCATCTCTGGTCTGGGAAGATTAGTGAAAACATCATTGATGATTGATGCAGTCTCGATAAACTCCAGAGCCACGCAATACCCCTGGAATTCTGTAGCATCATTGTATCATCGATCAATCAGGTCAGATTAGCCTTGTGTACACGAGGAACGTGTGAGAATGACTGTAAAGTGTTCAAGGTAGCATGCGTGCGTGCTTCAACGTTTGCCAATTTCCGATAATCAAACATCGCATATCGAAATGTTTCTTTTTCAATGGTGTGCTGCCTTGACATCTTCTTGTGATTATATATTAATATTAATATTATTAATATTAATGATTACAAAAAGTAAAATATTATCAATGAAAATCTTGTAATTACCCAACAAGATCTGCTCCGCGTTTTGATTCCAATTAAAATGTTTATAATAAAATAAAAATATGAATCAATACAAGTAAAAAATAGTACCTCTGGTTAGTTATTAACACTTCTTCTTTAGGAGACCCAAACCAAACCAAACAACAACGTTCACCTTGGACTCTGTCAAAAAATAAATTGTTTTTATTGTTTTTCCAAAAAAGAAAAAAAAATCAATTCGTGTCTGTCCTACCAAAAAAAAAAACCAATAGGATAAATAATTAGTGTGTACGCGTCTCCATCTCCCATCCAGAATGTTCTACATATAGAATCCACACAATTGCGAAAGCATTTCAGAAGATCTTGACGATACTTACTACCCTTTGTTACTAGAGGTGGTCCAATGTTCTCGAATATAAAGAATTCTTGATTGTTATCATAATTGAAAAGAATTCCATCAGCTTTACGTGCTAAAGCACCAACACCATAAATTAATTCGCGACGCCATTTGGAGGATGGAACGTCATTTTCATTCCTGTTGGAATAAGTTATGTTATATTGGCATGTATAAAATCAAATTTGTCTTCTTCATTTAACCTACCATTGTGAAACAAACAGGCCCGGAAAGCATATTTTTAAAAATTCAAAATCTGGAGATATGACTGTTGATGTATATGTATTTTCATCCATTAATGATACATCAAGTTGATTATCATGTCCTGCTCTAAGCTGCAAGAGTTTATATTCGAACACTCGTTTTATAAGATCAAATTGATCGTCATTGAACCCTTCAATTTCTGTAGTAGCTAGAAGGTTTGATAATGTATCATTTATTTTACGCTAGAAGAAAATTTACAATTAATCAAATGAATAAATAAAAGACATAACAATTAAAAGATATACATAATCATTTTTTTACTGTGTAATTTTTTTTGAGCCAATTTTTAAGCTCGTCAACGTTAACCTGGGGAAATGGCATAGATTTTGCTTGTTCTTTTAAACTTTTGAAAAGACTCTTCTTTGCAAGAGTATTATTTGCGCTGATATTTATTATATTTGCTTCGATTAACCTGTTCAATAAAATTAGTTTATTATTATTAAAATTATTGGTTACGTAATCATTGTTGAAATTATTTTAGTACCTTTCATCTAATTCGTCATCAGACAAGTCATCATTTATTAATTCATCATTATTGATTTTTGAACAACAATTCTTGCAAATGTTAGGAACACTTTCTTTTATTTGACACAATAAATTTAATTGTTCTTGAGGAGAAGGCCCTAATTCAGTGGAAATTCTACGTAATCCAATTGTATTTTTTTCACTCTGAAATTAAAAAGTTTAAAGTTAGCACACATAATTGTAACAACTGCTAATTTTTTCATGCTAATCATTAATGTAGTTATAAATATTTCAACCATTGGAGGAAAGTAACTTTTTACCTCGCCTTAGAAAATTAGGCATAATTATTTAACATAACAAGTAGCAAATGTCAAAATACCTGTGTGATTTCACTCTCGCCAACTTCTCCCAAATTATAATACACATCTTCATCATCTTCATTTATTGGTTTTGATCTGTATGCATATCAACAATGTAAGCTTTGAGAAAAGAAACTTATGTATATATTACATTATCAGTCAACATGTACCCTCTAAATACTTGCCTATGTTTTGTATGATTGCTCTCTAAATCGCCATTTTGTAGGGTTAGCTTCTGCTTTACTAGTTGATTAGTTACTTCG